ATATATAATATATATGTGTGTGTGTGTGGTGCGTGTATGAAACGGATCGGTGTCTAATTCTGCGTACCTACTGTAACACTATTCGAACAACCCCACAGGACGAGTACCGTTTGACCATCTGGCGAACGGCCCTATTCTGCTACACAGACTACAGTACGAGAAAGAAAACGGCATGTACCTGGAGAGGTGGGTAGACGGTGCAGTGTAGTGTCGTGTGGTGTGTGTGGTGTGGCTTGCTAGCTCTAGTAGTGTATATGTCTTGGGCATTTCGTTTGTTGGCTCGATTACGTATAGGCGATTACCTGCGCGAGTCAGAGTTGTCTGTATATGTATCCGAGAAGCAGCTCGATATGTTGAAGACGTTTAACAAAGTGTTAGCTATGTGTGACCATATACGACATACATTGAATTGTGGGCGTATGAGATGTTCTTTCTTTTGGACTGTGTCAGTCTGTCTATGTCGTATGTCAATAGACTCATCGTAACCATGACAATGGTACATAAGAGCTCTACTTTGTCGCTTTATTCTTCAGCTATGACACATGCCCACCACCTGTGATATCTTATTGGCTAACTAATACCTTCTACTCATAAAGTAATGGCATTTGCACTCGCGCTCTGCTAACTAATACCTTCTACTCATAAAGTAATGGCACTTGCACTCACGCTCTGCCAACTAATACCTTCTACTCATAAAGCGATGACACTTGTACTCACGCTCTATCTGCTTCGTTCATGAGCCGCGACCGTTTATAAACTGCCACGCTCGCATTCAGCGTTTTATATCCTGGCCATTCGCCACGGACTCGATATACACACATGGCTACTGTGCAGTGGCTCTGTTATACATGTAGGTGTGCTCTCACTCATAGCGTACTCGTAACCATAGCAACCCCATCACTTGCCAACATGTCCTGCACCTGAACAGACCGGAGGCGTCTATGTCAGGTGAAGTATAAAGCACATGCACACACACACAACTATACCTATACAAACCCATGTACCTGCACTCACACCCATGCCCATACTCACCCCACCACTTGCCAACATATATTGCACCTGAGCAGACCGGAAGCGTCTATATCAGGTGAGGTGTACGACATTGTGAAGAACTGCTGGCACCCAATTGCACAGAAGCGGCCGCACATCTCCGAATTGGCGACGGAACTACAGGCCATATTCGACAGGTGTGTTGTAACTGAAGGAATTGGCATATACTTAGTCATATCTGTATGCATACATCATGTACTATATATATATATCTATAATGTATAGTTATATCTATATACATACATAATACCATGCACACCTTTACTTGCCACCATCCACATCCACGTAGTCGTATGCACGTAGTCTTAAACGCACCCATACGGACACTGCGGTCTCCGTCGCCCAAACTAAATCTATTTATAACTATATATTTATAACTGAATCTATTCTTAACGGAACCTTTTTATAACTGTATCTATTTTTAACTGAATATATAAATAACTGAATCTATTTATAACTAAATCTGTTTATAGCTGTATCTATTTATAACTGAACCTATTCATAACTGAATCTACTTGTAACAGTATCTATTTAGAACTAAATCTATTAATAACTAAATCTAAATCTATTTATAGCTTGCTCAATATGATTTCTTTGCACTTATGGTTGTATACATACACCAGAATCAAAGGAAGCGTCTACGCCCAGCAAGGCAGTCCACTGGTGGGATATACAGAAGGGAACAGGAAACGACGTCCTTCAGAAACGACACAGAAGCACAAGACACTTAAGTATGTCGTATGAACGAACGCTGTAACGTCACGTTGGTCGGATGGGATATAGTATATATACATATCTGTTGTATGTCACAGAATGTTTGGCGCACCATTGCATGCATGCCGCATAGTGTTGTACACCATGTCATATTGTCGTACATCCTGTCTTTTTTTTTTATTTTCTATCATCGATCCTCGTGATTGTGAAGTACAGCAATACTGCGTAAGGACCATATATATTATATATATATATATATATATATATCGATTAGATGCTCACGCCATTCTAAACACTTGCCATCACCAGACACGGGACATACAGACAAAGCCGACTACGCAAACCTACAGAGTATCGACGGCTATGTCTACGATGTACTTGCAAACCCTCAACAGACGCAGCTGAGTCACAGCTTTGCAAAACTAAAGGCCGATTGGTGGCCGGGGCAGATGGTAACACATATACTAACGTCGACTTGGAGGAAGTTCTAATTGGACCTGATAATATGACTAAGGTGATCTCCAAAAATGGTTGAAGATAGGAAGAAGGGGTTGATTTTACACAGTCAGGCATATGCTACCAATGTGTATACGATAACAGAAATTTAGATATATAGTAAGAAATCACATATGCAAAACGTACCCCACATATACACTTTGAGGGACAATTATAAACATCGTTTTGCCAGAGGCTGGGCCATCGAATAGTGGAATTTACCAGAATTCCAAAGCGTGTGGAGTGTGGACACGGATAACAAAGCGACATATCTGTAGATATAAAAATACATTAAATGCAGTAAAAAGAATGTTCTTGGGCCAGACCACGAAAAACAGGACCAGTCAGTAGCTGCCGGTCCCAACTGCCTGGGTCGAGGTGCGCAAGTACCTTCTAGCTGTGCACATGTCCTCTCCACTAAGATACACATGTTCATATGTACAGCTACCGGTCGGTATTTTTTTAGTCAGACTACCTATATAAGGTACCGTAGCCCACAGTTCAAATACTTTACCCCTGGACGTAAGTCTGCAAGAAGTAACTTAAATAAGCGTTTAGTTGAATGAAGGACCTGTCCTATATCCTCTGCTTTGTACCAGCTAGTATATAAACCATACACGTTCAATTCTTCGGGTGAACTGTATTGACATCGCCGTCCACAATCGTCAATTTACAAATTGAGATTTTGTACATATACCACACTGCAAATGGGGGATTAGAAATAAAGAGAAGAATGTATTAAAGAGCTCTCTAGTATCTAGCTGGACTGCTAAAGAGTGAGAGAGAGTAATGTATATATGTACATAGACAGAGGGACCCTGCTCTGGGTACCTTTTGGCCCCTAGGTATACAACTCTACTTAGAAATACATAGCTACAAAACACATGAGTAGTGAGTAATAAGTGGGCCAGAGCCGAGAGGGCTGGAGCCAAGCTTCAGTCTTTTTTCGTCTAGCGTAAATAGCACTAAATGCGATTTCAAATCAATATATTAGATAAAACATACTACGTAGTACATTCTCGTACATAAACATTATAAGCTTTTGGTTTCATTGCCAAGACATGCAATATACTATTACCTGGAAATGTGAATAAGCTATAAAATAATGCTGCGTTATTATGTAAAAGACGTGCTACGTTTTGTCATTTTCAAATATAAGCCCGTGCGTATTGAAGGCTGAAGTCTGACTGGCGCCTGGAACCTTGAAGTCTGGAACATGAGTTCCAAGTTTCTAGAAGTGGTACCAAAACAAAATGTCGATTTCACATCTTGGCCATCACAAGTATCGAGTCCTCAACTATTTATCAAGATTCATGACAATCTAACTATCCAAAATAGGACCGGCAGTCCGGACTCCGACAGGGCACAGGGCCTACACAGTACACAGCTCACATTCCCCACAGTCCACAGGGCACAGGTCCACAGGCTCTCACACCCGCATAAACCCTCGGAAGCTGAGTCCCGACAGTCCCGAGCCCCGAGACCGTCGGCATCCACATTCCACTGTGTCAAGTCACCACTGACCAGTGACCACGCTCTTAAATACGTAACTAATACCCCTCATCAAATACCAGGATGTCCACTGTCCAGTGTCTAAACTCCAAAGAAGGCACAGTGATGAAGTAGAAATTGATCAACATTTATTGCAATAGAGGGTGGGCCATAATCCGCGGTCGGAGTTACAATCCATAGTTAAATACATATTGGATATGTCATAGAGTTCCATTGTTCTGCGGGAGAATCCGGAAAACAAATTCCATATCAGGTGTTAAAGGTTGTGAAGAGCCCGACCAGACGACCGGCCCAGTAGTTACCCTTCGGGAAATTGGATCAAATTCGTTCATGATCTCATCTAGAATATGGGGGCTACAGCAAGCCATTTGGTTAGGAAGCGGGAGCAGAGCTGGGGAGGTACTAGACCTATTAGGAATAGGGAACCATTGGCGGATAGCGAAGGTCTACCCAAGATGCAGTGGGGGTAGCACACGAGATGGAAAAATAACTAGAAGGAGAGCATTTGGGAGATTTTTAGGGGGAGTCCTAGTATGAAAACCAACGGCTCCGAAGGGGAACGAGCCGCGTGGTCAGCTCTGCTGAGGAGGTGGACATCTAGAATACAGATTATGTCATACGGAGAGACATTGGGCATAGTGATAGGTGTGAGGGATGGGTGAGTATTGGGGTGTGGGGCAAGCACTTTTGTGATGTGTAGCTGTGTGATAATAGGTAGAATAAAGAGAAGAAAACGTGATGTTAAGCTTTAGAGTGGTGGTGAGTGGGAGGGGGTGGGATGTAGTTGGTATATAGTTTTGTAGAGGGGAATGTATGAGTGCCAGGGACGAATCGACCAGCAATTATCTAGTACTAAATTTGAAAGTAAGTTGTAGGAAGGTCAATAGGACTGGTGAGTGAGACTGTGAGGCAGTCAGGCGGAGGAGGGGCCGGTGAATGATCAATCAAAATACAGATCTGATATTCGGAATTCCTAATAATATAGAACTGATTGGTAGTTGAAAATCCAGTCTAAAAAAGTTTGCTTTTAAAAACAAATAGCAAATTCATCTGCCAAAAGACTTTTTTTTATTTGTTTTTTAAAAACAAAAGGCTATTTGTTGTTGGTGTTGTTTTTGTTGTTTTTTTTTTTTCAAATAATATAGACAATCGGCCTTCAAATTTTGAAATTTGAAAAACGAAAATTGTCGTTGATCGACCAGACTCCACGAGTCGACTCACCCGACTGTCTGGTCGACTGCTCCAGGGTCCGATATAATATAAACTAGATAGTAGATAAAATATAAACTATGTGGACAAAAGATAAACTAGATCAATCAGAATAGAGATCTGATATTAGGAATTCCAGTGTTTGATTGGATATCCTGAATGAACAGTAGCATAGAACTGATTGGTAGTTGAAACTTTAGTATTGAACAGTAAGTGGGATTCGCTCGCTTTTATGAGGATCACCAGAACTTTCTCGCAACACTTAATCTGGATTGGTCGCGAGGAAATCGACGTACAAATGTTGAAAAAAAAGCACTGTGTAGTCAGTACTAAGCGTGTGCAGAACTGCAACAAAGTGCAAAGCTGTTGCGCAATGGCCAATGTGCCCTGTACACTTACATAGTGTGTACTGTAATAGACTGCAGATGAGTAGTTATGTATGAGAGTTCTGAAACAATTTTCTATCTGCCTCAATGCCTAAATATACTTGCTTCCCGAATTATTCAACAGCACGTCACGTGACAATGGTGCTTGATACCTTTTTTTTCGCGAGTTAGCTTTGCGTCTTTCAAATTGTGGTTCAAGTTTTGTAAATATTGATAGACACTGCAGAGATAGCTTTATCGCACAGTTAGTGGAGAATCGCAATCGTCTGCCTAAGGAAGCGGCAAGGTTCATTAGACCCCACTCTAAAGTAACTTGATTAGTAGTCTTCTTTCATTTGTAAATAGTACCGTTTCAGGAAGAACAAGATGGATTCCGGCGACAGTATCAATAATCCTTGCATAAACCGTACCAATGCAAGCGTAATGGGCAGCATTGCAGTCATAGGTAGGGGTCCATACGGTGTGGCTATGTTCGATGCACTAGCGACGCGAGGAGTAGATGTCGTGATGGGTATTCGTATGGACAACGATGCTGTTAAACACGGACACCATGTTACGCTGATACACCCAGACTCAACCATAACCAGACGACTGTCGAAGAAGGAGAGCTCTTCGCAAAACCGTGTCAAATGCGTTGCGGAGGCGATTGCATATGCAGACACGATCGTCTTGTCCATACCTGCCACAGCTCATGAGGCGTTTGTCACACGGAATGCGGACTTACTCAGAGCACGGGGTCTCGAGAAGGTGAGTAATGCGGGATTGTTAGATATTTGATAGTTGCATCAAGACAGGTAAAGAGAGTGCGTTGGTTGTGTGTTTTCAGTACAAGCATGATACCTAAATCCTTTAGTGACTTTCTGATAGGTTAGGGGCAACAAACAGCTCGAACAACTTCGCCTTGGACGTTCAATGCCGATGACGATATAAGCACGACCTTCTAGAAATATACCAGGTTTTTTGTGCGAATTACAGCTTCATGTCTTCCCAAGGGAACTGTGTTTCAAAAAAATGAGGGACGGACTTCTTGAGTGGCGTAATGCAAATAATTGTTATCCAACCTTGACAGTCGATGCAATATTGAAACATCGCTTGAACTGTCGTTCTGAAAATGTGACATCCTGACCTGCAGATAGTCTATGGCTGACTGGAATACAATGAAATGCATGACTAAAATTCTAATTGCTCATTTAGTTTATTATTCGGTAATCATGCGTATTCAGCTGAAACAAACAGGAATGGGCCTTGTATTGATCGACACAAGCAATCCTACGCATAAGTACAATGATGAAGAAAGTGTTGCGGAGCGACTGAGCATGCTTCTTACCGACGAGGATCTTTGTGGTGGTGACTTCGAATGTGTATCGGTGACTAAAGCATTCAACACTGTATCCGCCTACAGGTCTGTTCTTGGAAATTTGACAACATATATCACAAAATTTTGTTCATAGCTCTTGCGTTCAACGTGCATTCCGTAGGCTGGTCTGCAAATAAGAGACCACTTACGATTTTGCAATATAATCTATCATAGGCCTGGCATACTTCAGACAGATTGCTACTTGTGGAAGTCGACCATTTTTTTATGATGTTGTAGTGCAATAGCATGGTTTTAGTAGAGTCTTTTGAACATCAACCGTTCATCACAGTCTATAATTTGTATACAGTCTCAGTGCGAGTGCCAGCTTAAAAGGCTCCTCCGATGCCGCACCTGTTTGTGGGGACAACGAAAAAGCAAATGCACTGGCTATTGGCATAGGCACCATCATAGGGCTCAGACCTTTTGAGATTGGAAACCTAAATTGTGCACGAGATATCGAGTATCTTGGATTCTCTTTTTTCCCTAGGTAAAGTTATAGCATATGTACGCTATATGGATGTACAATCTGGGTTATCTGAGTTTATATGCCACGTGCATATTCAACTGTACGCTATACGGAAGTGTAGTTTGGGGTACCTGAGTTTTTATGTTCACATACGTATTTGACTGTACGCTTTAATATATGGATGTACAATTTGGAAGCCCTGAGTATATATGCTCACATGCATGTTTAAAGCTGTATGCAATATGGGTGTAAAATTTGGGGTACCTGAGCTTATATGTTCACATGTATATAATAAATGTACGCTATATGGATGTACAATATAGGGGATCTTTGTTTTTATATGTTCACATGCATATCTGACTGTACACTATATGGATGTGCAATTTGGCATACTTGAGTTTATATGTTCACATGCATTTTGAGCCTGTACAGTATATGGATGTACAATTTGGGTTCCCTGAGATTATATGTTCACATGATGCATATTTAAATGTACGCGTGCAATTTGGGGTACCTGAAGTTATATATATTCACATGCATATTAACTCGATTCCGTAAAACTACGCTATTGTCAGTTGACCACAGTAATTTTTACGTATTGTGTTTTTGAATGAATTTTGGTGACTACACCCTGCTGAAGCTCATACTCGAGGGTCGAACTCCGATGAACAACCTTTCGTCTGTGACAATGAGTCAGTACTCTTAAGAACTCTCGCTCAACATACTTACAATAAACTCACCATCATATACGGATTCAGATGGGGTACGGCCATAGCTATCACAGCCATAAGCTTCAGTGTATGTCTGCTATATTTACTGCTGTGGTACTATATCCTGGATTTCCCGGAGCTAGGACGACCTGCCTATAAATGGACCCAACCATCTGTGGCGCTGAACAAGGCCACAGCCAACACATCCTTGATACTCTTGGTTTTAACCTATCTACCTGGCAAGCTAGCGAATTTACTACAATTGTACCGAACATCTGCAAGGTAACATTGCTATTATCGGATGTTGTGTGGCATGTACGGTGACAAGCTTGAGGACGTGCGTATAGTTTCAACATCAATTCGAATACTTACTTTATTTTTCACGTGTCTATATCATTTCGTTAAACGGCTTGGTGGAGTAGTTTGCAATTGGCATGACTTCAGCTCCATACATTCACACTCTTACATGTGCATGCACATAAGTATACTCTACTCTCAGGTTTACTTTACCTCGCATGACTGTAGACAATTACACTCCGTCGAGATCGTATACACACACACACACACACACACAAACACACCAATAGAAACATCCGCATGCTCACCATATTCAGGTTCCACAAGCTCTAACATCTCCCACCCACCACAATTTCACACATCAAATACCATGCAGAAAACTTTTTCCGCGCTGGCTATCGGCGTGGCTGCAGATTCGCAAACAGATCGGCCTGATGTCCTGCTGGGTCATGTTTCTTCATGCGGAGTTGACATCGTATTTAAAAGGTGGATCCTACGGTTACAACACCCCCTTCGGTAACGACTTCGACGGTACGAACGCCTACATGACCATGTGTGCGGAGCTCGTACTGGTACTAGGAGTGCTGGCGTGTGCTTTCCTTATCCCTATCTTGCTGAGTTCCCTCCCCTCGGTTAGCATGAGTATGACCTGGTAGGTATCTATATTGACGACACTGGCTTGGTATTTCAGAAGGTTTACAGACATATATCCCCTGCATGCAAAATGCCTGCCTGATCGTCTGCGTATTATAATCCTTCCAATGGTTTTCGATAATGATTAGTGCCGGAGCACCCCACGTGTACGACTGTGCATATATCATACGTGTGTCACGTGTGTGCTCGCCCATCCATCTCATAAGCACCCCCTCCTGTGCACTTTTGGCAGGATGGAATGGGCGTTTCTGCAGCGTGTAGTCGGCCACGTGTCTCTGCTGGTAGCCGGCCTACACGTGGGTCTGTACGCCTTCACGCTGTTTGTTTGCCCCGACGTGAACCCAAGCACGGATACTAGCAACAGTCCAACCGATTCAGCTACAGACACACCTACGCACTCTGTTAGTATACAGCAACGCAGGCACTGTACGTATGTAGTGCCGGTGTTGTCGTCGTATCCAGGGTATCTACCCCCACTGTCGAGCGTGTCAGCGTGCTTGGCGCTGTTGACATGCGTGTTGTGGATGTTCTTGTCTATTCCTGCGGTGCAACGGCGCACGGCAGCGATACGCAAGGGCCACTCAAACCACGCCAGCCAGCTGGCCGAGTCTATTTTAGTTCCCCAATCGAATAGCCCGAACGGACCGAGCACCAATCAGAAGTCCAAGAATAGCAATGGGCGGAAGCGCGCGAAGGTGGTGGACAAGGTCAGTGCAGCGTCAGCCTCGCAGGAAAAAACGGAGTGCACCAGCTACGGCCACTCGTTGAAAGGGTGTAGCATAGACGAACAGGCTATCATCTGCGAACAGGACGATTTAGTGGTGGATGTGTATCACGACACAGACCCATTGGCGGACAGCAAGCCCGAGATACCTACAGCCGGGAATGTGTACCGAACTGCCATGAGCTCTGGCGTTGTGAGTGCAGATGTAACAAAGACACCCAAGCATAGGCGTGATCATGAGGAACCAGCTGAGCCAGTCACACCACTACACTGTGCCCCGCCCCGGTACACACAGACGCCACGCACAGATGAACTCACTTCAACGACTGTCAATGTATCACCTGTCAAGTCCCTGGCTGAGCTGGATACCGACACGGCACAACCTCAATCGCAGGACAGACTACGCATACATTGTGTTGATGTTGAAAGTGTCGACGAGTAGTGTGATAGGACACTGTGGCCGGTTTTGGGCTGCTTGCGGGTTGCAAGCGAGATGAAAGGCGTTGGAAGCTCGGCACGACGAGGCGATCTAGAACTATAAGGTAATGTGGTAATGAGACTAGTAAACGAAATAAAAATAGACTAAATCCTAAAACCCCCACACTGATGACACTACAGTGTATGTGAAAGCAGCCAGCCATACCAGGCAACAATGCAGAATAACCAGTGTTGTATTTGTATTTT